AAAAGTTATTATTAGTAAAATTTTTTTTTATAAAAGATATATAACAAAAATTTTTGTATTTAAATAAATCTCAATATTTAATAACTTAATTAAGACAGAATTAAAACTTTATTTTGAAAAAATAATTATTAATATTTATCTAAGATATAAATTTTTTTACATTAATCTATATTAAAAAATAATTTTTTTTATATCAAAATAAAATTTGTAAGTTATAATTTAATATACTTTTTCAGATTTTTTCTAAAAGAGTTATTTTAATTATAAATTTATCACAAAATTTTTTTCTAATTGAAAATAAAATTTAATTAAATAATATTTTTAATAATTTTATAAATAGAATAACTTTTTTAAAAAAAATCTAAAAATCTGAAAAAAATAAATATTAAATTATAACTTATAAATTTTATTTTAATATAAAAATAAAAATTATTTTTAATAAAATAATAAACTTTGATATTAAGAAAATTTTAATTTTTATTATATTTTATTAATAAAATTAATTTCTTAATATATTAATACTAATTATTATTAATTTTTATTAAATTATATTATTTTTTTATTTTTTAATACTAAAAAAAATATATATATAATATTTTATAATATTTAAATCAAAAAAAAATTTTTCAGATTGTATATATATAATAAAATTTAATAAATTTAAAAATAATTTTTTAATAATCATATTATTAAATTATATTAAATATTTATTATTTATATAAAATACTTAAATTTTAATTTAAAAATTATTAATTTAATTATTTTTATTTTATATTTTAATTAATAATTTTTTTTATTTATAAAAATTAATTTTAAAATTCAGCTTTTTATTTTAAATTTTATTATAATAATTATAAAATTTATTATTATTTATACTATAAATTTCAAGATAATTAATTTTTAATTAAAAAAGTTATAAAGATATAATACTTTTAATTATTATTATATATTTTTATTTAATTAATAAATATTATTAAATAAATAATTTAATAATAAATATAAAATATTATTTATAATTAGAATACTTATAAAAAAATATTTAATAATTCAAGAAATAATATTAAAAATCTGTCTTATTTATTTTTAAAATATTATATAATATATAAAAATTTATACACAAAATATAATTACTTTCAAATTAAAATAAATGAAATAAATTATATATTAAATATTTTTAAAATATAAGCTTTAATTATATATAATAATTACAAAAATTAAGATCAAGATATTAATAAATTATAGCAATAATTAAAATTTTTCTCTATATTAAAATTTAAAATCTCTATTTTATATTAAATAAAATATATAATTTGTGATTTAATATGTATTTTTCAGATTTTTAGAATTATTCTAATTACAAAATTATTATAAAAATTTTTTCTAATTAATTTTTATTTTTATATATAATTAGAAAATTTTTTAATAACTTTACTATTAGAATAATTCTTTCTAAAAAATTAAAGCATTCAAAAAATAGATTATATATTATATACTTTATTTGAATACAAAAATAAAAAATATTTCTTATTAAAATTTATAAATAATTTTTAATTTTGCTATATTTTATTAATAGATTTCCTAATATATTACTTTTGACAGTAACTGCATATTATAAAAATATTATTTTAAATGAAGTTATTATATAAAGTAATTAGTTAAATAAATATAATTGTCATTATTTTCTGTCATACATGTTTATTTGTTCTTCATTAATAATAAACTAAATATTTAATTCTCATAATAATTAATTAGTAAGAAAATTATTACCTTTTTTGCATCAAATCATTCATGTACATTTTTGAGAATATTATATATATGTTTTACTTGAATTAATATATAAAAATTTGACCTTTACCTTATGATATAAACTTTTTGTTCGAAATAATTATTCAGCATCATTACCGAGTTTTGATATAGTCTGAATACGCTAAATATTTTTTAATTTTAGTTGAAGTTTATTAATTTACAATTTTATGTTTAAATTTCATTCAATTTGAAGAATTTTTTGTGCACAGTATTATATTCATAATTTAATATATTTTCTTGTGTTAGTTACTATTTTAAAATCAATTTTTAAAAGGTAACATTTAATTTAATTAATGCCTAAACATAATCCAAAATAATCGAGCTTTAATATGAAGTTGCAACATGTTTTTGGAAATTTTTAGCAATATCAAAAAAAAATTTAATAAACCCGAACTTATTTAGAATTTAAAATAAGTTTCATTGTACAAACTCAATATAATGATGAATACAGGCATTATTACAGGTAAATTTAAAACGAGATTCACGTCCTGATTATTTAAGCAACTACGTAAAAACGCAGCAGTTGTCATAACTCCGAACTCAGTTGCTAAAAATAAGCAATAGAAAATTATAAAGTAATAAGAGTTCAAGTAATATTTATATATTCACATGAAATCTGCACTATATTCAGTGCAATGTAACGGTAAGCAGCCCAGCATTTCCATGCATGATTGACATTTGAACATTTTACAATATTATGCATCTTAATTATAACGTTAGAAACAATAGTTGTGGCTCATTTGTTATATTTTTGACAAAGAGTTCGATGATCGTGTGTTGGTGAGCCACCACATGGTAATTACGGAATGTGCATATAACAGACAATAGAGATGTTTCGCATTAAAGTTCTACATGTTCATGTGCTGATTTAATAAACAAAAAACTATAAAACTGACCTATCGCCCTCCATATTTTTTTTCTCTACTGAACTGCACAAGTTTTTAAAAGAACCTGTTTCTTACAAAGGCTTTTTCAATTTTTCTTGTATATAAAACACCTCAAAACTTTCTATTTATATTGTATATAATACTCAAAATGGCAATCATTAAAACTTCTGAAGATTCAAACAATTCTAAAAACTGCAACAAAAATACTAAATCAATCGACGAAGGATTTAATCCTGAAACATTATACTTTGAAGACTTTGATGGCACTTATTACGAAGAACCAGAAGAATACTTTGGAGATGATTACTTCTCCTACGTATCTGATTGTAGTTCGGATATCTCTTCGACTGCAGAAAATAGCATTTATTCTACAGATAGCAGCATTTCAACGCATGAAAGCGACAACTTTTTATCATTATATTCGCATAACGAATCCATTTCAGCATGTGCACTCCCAAATAAAGATGAAAAGAAATCAATGAAGCTCAACATCAATACGACTGAAAAATTCTTTAATATGACGCCTAAAGATTATCGAATTTCCTTGATAAATTTTTACAAACAAAAAATCGGTGATATTAATGGAGATTTTTCTAAAATTTCGAATTAATCTTCCAAAATTTTTTATCCTTTTTAATTTATTTTAATTCATTCAAAATATCTTGAATAACAGTAATTAGCATTTCTTCTTTATTCTCTTTATGAAAACTATCATTATATGCTGTATGAAATAAGAGTAAAAACACTTCTAAATGTTCATTACTAAGACTAAAAAAAATGTATGTAAATAAGTATATTTTATGTTTTTAACAATAAGTATAACCAAGCTCTAAGATAGTTTTATAACGATAAGTTTAATTTATTATTTATAAGCTATTCTACTGACGCGTCATCAATTAACATTATAAGAATCATATAATTTTTCACAAAGCAATTTACATTACCAACATAAATTTTAAAATGGCTGATTATTTGATGTATGAGATTGTTCTAGAAAAGAAAATTTGAGTTATTTGAAAATAAAAATAAAGCTATATTTAGATTGTACTTTTTTGCTATTTCTATTATTCTTGAATATATCAAAAATTCATCTAGAATTCAATGTGAAAAAATTGAATTTAAACAGTGTTCAGTTCACATTCATAAATAAAAATACATGTACATGTATCCCGAATTCTGAACAACAAATGATGTGGTAAAATGAAGATAAGTCGGTCTGAAACTCTGCATATAGATGTAATGGTATCGTATCATGGTTTCTAAGAATGTCAAACAACTGCGTAATGATAGTGAAACATGCCGTTAATTTTATCATCACATGTTAATAATTATATGTGCATATATTGTAAAGTCGGTATTGTTATTTTAGGCGAGTAAAAATTGAATAAAAAAAAGGCGAGCTTATTTATTATAAAGTATCGGATATAAAGCATTTTATCCGAGCAGGATCGGCATATGACTTCATTCATACACACATACTTTTTTTTGGTTGACCATAAGAACAAAATTTTTATACATGTATTCATAGACAAAATTAGTTAGCATTTATAATTAAGAACTAAATTATTTCTAAAATATTTTTATTCGAGAAATTTTCATTATTTATTAATATAAAAAATTTATATTTCATTTTAGAATTTTATGTAAAAATGTCTGAAAATCATGTGCAATGTCATAAAATTTTCCGGACACAAAGAACACTATCGCTATAACGATAAATACTGTTCATCTATCGCTATGTCTAAAATGTCTCTTCCTTTACATTGCGAATCATAAGTATCTGAACCTCCTATATTGGCAAAAATTTCATGTAATGCCAAGAAACTTTTTGAGCACAAAGAGCAATCCTAAAAACTGACATCTGCATCCTTTATAAGCTGGCAAACTTCCAAACTAGGCATTGAATGTTCACAAAACTTTCATGCCTCAATTTACGATGCATATCTCAACGTTTAATGATTGAAATCTAGTGGTATATTCAAGCAAAAAATGTTACCACTCAAATTCATCTAATCGAATGATATTAAATCCGGTCACTACACATTGTCCTAAAGTGGCAAAATTCATTGATCAACAAAAATACTGTAAATCGTCAATTTAGGCAGTAATACTGTATCTCGATGCTCAGTGATCCGATTCGAACGAAAATACTATCATTCAATTTGTCTAGTCGAGATAAATTAAATGGTAGTATTTTCGCTCGAATCGAGTCACTGAGAGGCAAGATATTGCATTCTAAATTGATGATTCATTGTATTAGCAGTGTAGATATTTGACGAGTATCCAATTCCTATAAAAGACATGGTCAGTTACTTATGAAATTGATTGTACCGTATTTTCGCGAAATAACGCCCACCTGCGCGTTATTTCGAGTACGCCATGGGCGTTATTTCGAGACATAAGTTCGATTTTCTGCTAAACCTGTCCTGTGCGTTGTACAATCTATATGTTCATGTATCGGTACATATACATGTAAATATACATGTAAGTATGAACTTTTTATTTTTATTTTTTTCAATTCTTTTTTGCTTTATTTTTTTTGTTTTTTCTTGTATTACACGACATTATTGTTGATTGTTATTTTTTTGTTTGCTTCGCATGCAAGTTTTTTTGCTTTATTCACATGTGAACATGAGCACAGAACGAAGTTATACTCTCGCGTTTAAGCTTGAGACAATTTCATATACAGAAACTACATCCAACTGTCATGCTTCTTTATATTACAAAATCGATTGAAAACAGGTTAAAAAATAGCGACAACAAAATAAAGAGTTTGAAACTGTGCCAAAATCGAATTTATATTAAAATAAATGTAATTTATCAATTAGTGTGCGTTATTTCGGGCGTTATTTTGAAACCATATATGCTATTTTTAAAGGATACAATTTTGGAATAACGTTATTTCGCGAAAATACAGTATATATAAATTAAATTATTGATCAGTAGCATTTGTTGCTGTCACAACAAAAATCTCTTGATCATTAAATATTCTGGAATGCTGCTGAATTTCTTGTTTTTCTGTGAATAATGTGTAATGAAACCTTAAAAATAATTAATAGTATTGTTCTATAATAGTCAAAAATAGTTTCCAGAATTCTTACAAAAATTCTGCCTTATCAATATTAATGCTGTTTCCCCAAAAAGCAAGAAGTATTTATTAAACCTCTTATCTTGCGTGCTCAAAATATTGATCTTATCATAGATTTCTACTCAACAATTCTTATTTGCATGTTCTATCTTATTGCATAATCATAATTATGATTTTTGTAATGTATTTTTTTATTTTAATGAATAACAATTTCTTCTTTTAATGATTTTATTATTTCTATTATTTATTTATATTAATATATTCTTCTGCTGATATATTAGTTATATTGTTTGTTTTTTTCAATTTTTCAATACTTGTGTTAACTCTTGTATATTTTTATCATTTATTAAATATATTATTGAAAAAAATTTTCAGTTTTCTCAAATAGTTAATAATTATTTTAGATAATACTTTATTTTATACATCAATAATAAAATAAATAATATTTTTAATATTAATTAACTGAATAAGCTTTTTATTTATATTGCTTGTATCAATTTAATTATAAATAACTTGTAATTATTTACTTTAAACTTCTTGATAATATTAGTTTTATCAGATTAAATAACAGAATAGTATTAGATTGCAAAAATTCTTCTTCCAGGTTTTGTAATTTAAAAAAGTTAAATTTATAATATATACTAAATAATTACTAATTAAAGCTATTTTAATTAGTTTAATTACTTTTTTCTAGTTATTCATACTTTTTATTTATGAAATATTATATTAATAATATTATTATATTAATATTTTGAATATTAATTATAAATAACTTAAATCACTATTTTTTTATTATATATATATATAATATAATATTATTTATTTTTCTTGAATTCTTTTATAATATCTATCTTGAATTAAGATACTTGTCAAAATTTATAAATTTTAATAGATAATATAATATTAAAGCTAAAATATTAATTAATTATTAATATATTATATATATTTATTATTATAAATCTTTTTAAATTTTAATAATATGACTAATTTAAAATACTAATTAATTATTAGTATATAACTACTAAATTTTAATATTTTTAAGTATTTTATTTATTTTTTAAAATAAAAAATCAGTTTTATTAATATTTAAATATTATTAAAATAATAATTTATTAATAATTTTTATAAATAATTTTACTTATTTAAATAATTAATTTATATATTAACTTATTTTTTAAATATAATTTTTTAATTAATATTATATTAATATTAGAATTTATATAATTATTTATTAAATCTTTTAAATTTAATTAAAAAGTTAATAATAATATTTTAAAGTTATTTATAAATAAAAATATCTTAAGTTAATTAATTATTTCTTGAATTTATCTATTTATTTAATAGCTTTTTTTTAACAATAATTTTTTATAATAATATTTTTTCTTAATTTTAAAACTTTTAATAGTAATAAATTTTTTAACTTATTTTTTTTAATTATTAAATTAATATAAATAATAAATAGTTTAGTATTAATAGATAAATTAATTATTAATATAATCAAGATTAATTTCTGAACTAATTCAAAAATATTATTTAAATATCTATATATTATAATTAAATTATTAATAAATTTTTATTTAAAATATTTAAATTATTTAAGAATTATTCTAAATATAATATATAAATTAAATTAAAACAAGATTTAGTTTTAAATTTAATATTAATCTTAGATTTAATAATTTTTAAATTATAATTAAATATAAAAAGAAAAATATTATTTATTATCTGATTTTTGAAAAATAATTAAATATTAAATTATATATATTTTTTATAAAAATTTTTATAATATAATATTTTAAGTAAAAAAGTAATATTATTATTAATAAAAATTAATAATAAATAATATTTTTTTAAAATTATTTTTTAATTATAATTAAATTAATAAAAAATAATATTTTTAATTAAAATATTATATTAAACTTTTTATTGGATTTAAGTTTAATTTGAAATTAAATTAAATTTAAATTAAACTTGAACTTAAATTTAAAAGTATAATAATTTATAAAGAAATATAATATAAAAAATAATAAAATAATATTAAAATTAAAATATTTTCTCTATATTAAATTTTATAATTTTATTAAAAAATTAATTTTTATTTTTATATCAAAATAAAGTTTATAAGCTATAATTTAATATATATTTTTTTAGATTTTTTCTAAAAGAATTATTTTAATTATAAAATTAATACAAAAATTTTATTAATAAAATTTTATTTTTAATTAATAAAAATTTTTATATTAACTTTATAAAATATATATTAAATTATAGTCCAGTATAAAAAGATTAATATATCAAATAAATATTAATAGATTATTTTTTCAAAATAAAATTTTTCTTTTATAAAAAAAATTTTATTAATATAAACTTTTTTGAATTATTATTTCTTAAATTTTATTATAAAAAATTTAATTAAAATTAATATTATTATAGCAAATTGATAAGTAAGTTTTCACTTGAATTCATCTTAATGATATATATAGTATTGGAAGAGACTGAAATAATTAAAGGATAAAGAAAGA